GCCCCAGGTAAAAGCTGTGGGTCTTCAAGGGTAGGAGCAACTCCTTTTCAAGGTAAGAGAACAGAGAAGCTCCTAAATTTCACTAGATTTGGGAGTATTCACTTCTCTTTTCTGTGATGCTTCTATGCAATAATAAATTTTTATACCATTTCTCCTGTTAATTCATCTATTGTCAGTTTATTTCATAGACTCAGAATCTAACTCTCAGAAAGTAGATGAAAAGTCTTCTCTCTTTTATATAGCATTTCTATCTACAAATCAGAGGTTACAAACAAAGGCCTCCAGAATTTAAACAAGTAATGGAAATAAGTGAAGCTGGCCAGACCAAAGTGCACTGGAGGATGAATGTTGCCTTCAGGGTCTAGAAGTGGAAGAAGTTGCTACTGTGAAATCATTTTGGAATATGGACTCAGTGTTATCAGCTATATTGATTTTTAAAGAAGATAGAAATCCCAATTATTTAACATGAAATAGATAACTGAAGGAAATTAGAAATATTTTACCCTAAAATACATTTCTTTGACATATTTTGAGGTAACTGTTATGGGTCTCACAGATAGGACTAATGCTGCAAAATTGTCTTTTGTGGGAGGAAATTTACATCTGTAATGTATTTCCATTAATGCAGCCAGGTCTTTTTTCTCCAATCTAGAAAAGATTAACTGAAAGTCTGACACCTTTCAAAGTCTAAAATACATTTACCATCTAATCTCCCTGAGGGCTGCTACCTTTGAGGCTTTATAGCAAGACCACCTTTGCTACCCTGCCTTACCACCAAAAATCTGCCACCTTTGAGGTCTTGCCACCTTTGCTTGCCACCAAAAATCTATTTGGGAATAATCTAAGCTCCCATTTTTACAAAACCTCTGTACCTTATTGAGGAATTGAATATTCATTCTGAAGACTCTTACGTTTACACATGAAAATAAAAATTTGTATGCCTGTTTCTCCAATTAGTCAACTACCTCATGCTAGTGATTTTTTGGAGAACCTTTATGGGGCCAAGGGCCTTGGTCTCTACATAACTAATCATATGGTCTGAGTGTTTGTGCCTCCCCCCAAAAGTCATATGTTGAAATCCTAACCCTCAGCTGAGCATGGCAGCTCACGCTTGTAATCCTAGCACTCTGGGAGGCCAAGGCGGATGGATTGCTCAAGGTCAGGAGCTCGAAACCAGCGTGAGCAAGAGCAAGACCCTGTCTCCACTAAAAATAGAAAGAAATTAATTGGCCAACTAAAACTATATAGAAAAAATTAGCCAGGCATGGTGGTGCATGCCTGTAATCCCAGCTAGCTGGGCATGGTGGCACATGCCTGTAGTCCCTGCTACTTGGGAGGCTGAGGCAGGAGGATCACTTGAGCCCAGGAGTTTGAGGTTGCTGTGAGCTAGGCAGACAGCATGGCACTCTAGCACAGGCAACAGAGTGAGACTCTGTCTAAAAAATAAAAAATCCTAACCCTCAAAGTGCAAGTATTAGGAGATGGGGCCTTTGTGAATTAATTAGGTCACTAGCTAGGGTGGAGTCTTCCTGAATTGGATTAGTGCCCTTATAAAAGAGACCTCAGAGAGCTAGCTTGCTCTTCCACCATGTGAGGTTATAGTGAAAAGACAGTATAAGGTTGAAGAGATGCTCCCCCTTCACCCTTTAAATATTCCCTGAAAAATCAATTCACAAAAGGAGATTCATAGGAGAAATGGCATACAAATCTATTAACGTGCACATGGGGGAGAACCACAAAGTGATTATCCCCAACCCCCTTATAGGGTACTGAAGCTTATATACCATCTTGAGGCTAAAGAAAGAAGAAGGGCTCGAAACATGGCCCAAAACAGGCTATGGTGGCAAGACAGGTTACGGGAGGGAGAGAAGAGGAGACCTGGTTAGCAAACATGGTCTAGTTATATAAATGAAACCTCACAGGTAGCAGCCCTCAAAGAGAATAGATAGTAAATGTTTCTTCCAGATCATTACAGGTGTCAGACTCTTGGTTAACCTTTCCTAGATCAGAGAAGGGAAGGGCCTCAGAGTAAGCCTGACTGCATCAATGAAGATTTTCTCTGAAGATACAAATCTCCCCAACAAAAGACAGCTTTTCAGGGCTACTTCCCTTTGCCGGCTCTCTGAACAACCATCTGAAAATATGCTAACGCATATTTTGGGGTAAAATATTTTGATTTCCTTCAATAGCCATTTATGAGGATCCAGGCCCTCACCAGACACTGAATTTGCCAGTACCCTGATCTTGGACTCTTCAGGCTCTAGACCTGTAAGAAATAAAGTTATATGCCACCAAGTTCATGTGGTGGCATATTCAATTTTGGAAATTCAAAATTTCCAAAATTTTCATGATGGAAAATTTTGATAACCACATCAATGTATTACAAAAGTAACCCACCCTAAGCAATATTAGGAGACATTCTCCCTAAGTCTCTCATGTTCAGAGACATTGATGGCCTTTGTTTTGGATACTCTGTTCAGCAATATTTATATAGCAACAACCATAGAAGATAGATATGGAGGCCCCGTCTAGAATAATAGCTAGACATGTTAATGCCTCCACTCCCGCAGTTTCATTGACCAGCCTGAGAAAAATAAAAAAGACATGTTAACTGTCCATTCTGAAATACTCACATTTTATAAGCTCATAGTTCCTCTATAGGAACTAAATCTATATCCCTGTCTCAGACCAGTGGTTGGGAGGGATAGGGGAGTGTCCTTTGTTCTTTGTGCCACAGTGATGGCTCAAGAGAATTGTCCTGACAGAGGTTATGAGATTGTCTTAGCCGAAGACTTACCTATCTTCTATGGTTGTTTGCTATACTGTACGTACAGTAATGCAACCTACTGTACTATTTGTGTTACTCTGTAAGAATTGTGGCTCAGGGTATCAGTGAAGATGCTAATATTCTGGTTATTGTGATTGTTTTGCATAATAAAGTCCTTGGTCTCTGACCCAAGAGTTTCATGTCTTCTGCTAGCATGCATAGAACAGGGGCAGACTAACATATTAAGTTGCAAATACAGTAAAATATCAGATAATTCATAGTTTTTGACCATTAGTTGTCATAGTTGACATAGTTTTTGATAATAGTTTTGAATATTAGTTTTTTCTTCTATTGTAAATTCTAGCTATAGTAGCTGCTCTAAAATCAAAAATCTAGTCTTCCTTGATATTGTTTACCACACTTCTCTGATTCAATATACTTCTCTTTTGCTTTTGACAGTACATTGCCTTATTTTCTGTCAAAACAATTATGAACTACTATCATTTTCAAATGTCTGAATCTTTCTCTATCTCATTATTTTTATTTAATTTGGGTCTTAATCTTCACCTTCAGACAAGTGCCTAGTGCTTAGCAATAAAACAAAATGACTAACAGGCAGACTGTCAGCCTATGTGAAACCTATGTGTTTGAAACTGGCTACCTATTTACTGGTTGTGTTACTTTGGACAAGTTATTTAACCAACTCATGCCTCAATTTCCTTATCTATAAAATGGAGATAATAATAGCAATTAACTCCCAGATATCTGCAAATTAAATGAATTTATGCATTTAATGTACTTAGAATAGTATATAGTATATAGGAAAAATGCAATAGAAGTAACCAATTCAGTTGAATTTTCTTGAAAAATTCAGTTAAAGTCTCACTTTAAATGTAAGTTGTTTGTAATTTGCAATCTAACTCTATTGGGAAGCTGAATGATAATTTAGGGTGCTAAATTATGCTTTAGGGTGCTAAACTGTGCTTTCCCAGTTCAAATCCTCAATAGTTTAGTAAAACATTATTTTCATAGGCTTTGCCTTTTGAAAAACCAACACCTCATCTCCCAATCTTCTACAAATGCTATGAAGGACCAAGCATCAACCTCTCTCCATGTAAATGTACAAATACACTACAAAGTTTAAAACAGAATGTCAAATAACTCTTCCATAAATGACATTGTTCACTCAGGATGCCTACATATTATCACATGAATATTAGAAATTGTCTTCATGGCCCTAATACAAAAGTCATCTCACCAAATATTGCCTATCTGAGATAATGGTTCCATTGGTGTTTTCACTGTGCTATGGCATTTCTCTTAATGGCCTTGATAATATCCCTTGATTTTCTAAGAGCTGTCCTTTCTATTTTTCTAAGCCTACAACAATTAAAATAAACATTCCAAAGGGGTAAAGCAAAAGAGAAAAAAGCTGCAAAAATCTGATTTGATTTTCCTACACTTTCCTCCCTCCCTATTTCCAAGCAGCTAATCCCCTCTCAAACAGTACAATAGAACAGCTAGACATAAAGAAAAGGAGATAAAATTGGCTAGCCTACATTGTTCTTGCTAATCTGGACCATTTACATAAGGGTTAGAAGGCTTGTTTTATCATTTAAACAGGCTTAAAAGCCTCTTTGCAAATGAGATTTAGTTCCTACAAAGGAATGAATTCTAGCTATTTGGTGAGTTTCTGCTAGGAGCTGATTTGGCAGTGTCTACAAGCTACTTCTTTGGCCACAAACAGTATATGCAAAGATTGCTTCCAGCTGCCAAAACTGAAAAAAAATCAAGCTGATTAAATTCTTTCCAGGAGGTGAACAGGATGAGGGGCAGGTTAAGAGGCCAATAATATTGGATCTTAAACTGTACCTGGGCAAACTCTTTCTTTGTGCAGGTGCTTTAAAAGTGACTTTGAACATTCTGAGCTCCTGGAATCTTCCTTTTGAAAGGGAACAGAATGGTGGACAGCAAATGAAATTCTGACACAGAAGACATAAAATAGTCTCAAGCTGTGAAGTGAAGACAGTCTAAACTCTTTGATGTATTGTTGGTCTGAATGACACTGGACACAGGATAACTGCATAACTGACTCTCTTGCCAATGTTAGCGCAAAAGATCACTAGAAGGAAAAGGTTTTCTTAACACAGAGGAGTACAAACTTTGCATCAAAATCTTAGATTTTTAAAATCGAGATTATGTTTATGCATACTATACCTATTATGTGTTTTACCTGGCACACCTTGAACAGATGTTCAGTGTGACCTTGGCCTGAGGCTCAGCAGGGTGAGTAGGACGGCCTTGGTTAAATTTGCTCCCAGAAGGTACCAAGGTTGTTACTCCCTCCATTCTTAAATCATTAAGATCCTCTGTAACAACACAAACAATTACAGAGAAAAAATTAACTCTAGTAGAATTATGGAGAAAAGTCCATGTTTTCAGGTATCTGCCAGTAGTTTGTTAAACAAAGCATTATTTTATATTTCCCCTTAGAAAAAAATCTAACTTCATGTATCCATTATTTTTCAAATTATTTCTAGATGTAGCTGGAGACAAATTATATGTGAAGATTTACAGGGGATAAGATGGTAAGAGACTGAATATACAAATAGACAATGAGCTGAACATATATGACAATAAAACACGATGCACAACCCCTGTTGTAACAATCTGGTGAAGCCAAACCATAATCTCTATAGCAATCAGCCCTAAATGGTCAGGACTGGTCGGTGACTGGCAGCTTCCCTATTTTTTGCCCTTGTTTCCAACCCAGAACCAACAAGACAAAACCACATATGTTCTAAAATCAATTGCATAAATTCATTTCTATTAAGTCTGTGTCCTGCTTCTCCACCCAACTGCATCTAATCAGAATATACCCAAAACCTTTTTCACTCTTAACTTTTTCTTTTTGCTTTTGCCTAAGGAGAACAACTGTATACCTGGATGGTCCTGCCCCAGAGGTTCACTGAATTCCCTTTCTATTTTTCCCAGGACCTCAATGAAGACTTAAAAGGTCTAAATTTCCCATGTGATTCAGTTCTGATATAATATGTACATGACCTCTTTCTTTGTTCAGAGAACAAGGGAGTTTGTAAAAATGATTCCAATTACTTGCTCTCAGTTGTAGCAAAAAAAAAAAAGGACATAAAGTTTCAAAAGATATAAATTATAAATTATAATTTTGCTAAAACATAATCTGTCATTGAGTGATTGATCTACAATGAGGAGGAAAACCACACTCTCCTAATGGACTAAAGACTATAAGAACATCCTAGACCCCTCAAAGGACAATTCAGAGGATTGCTAGGGTTTAATTGGATATTACAAGGAGTGTCAATTTTTCCTGAGATGGTGACAACTCTTAGTTTAAGTCATAAACAAGCCTTCTGTCATTTGAAAAGGGCTTGTCAACAGACCCCTTCCATAGGCAATCCCAAGTAAAAGCTCCTTTGTCTCCTTGTGCTTAAGCAATCTGGAAAAGCACTTAGGGTTTTAACTCAACTTCATGGGAGTCATCAAAAACTCATCACCTTGACCTGTTTGCCAAGGCTTAGTCCCCTTGTTTCAGAGCAGACCTGCCATTTCAAAAGTTGGTGCTTCTGCTGAAATAGTTATGGGCTCCTCTCTTGATCTTCTGGTTCCTGATACAACACAGACGTTACTACTGCCTGAGGATACACAATTTTTTAGCCAGCAATTAAATGCTGATGAGATTCTGATAGTCTCTCCCTCTCACATTACTATTCACCATGGCAGCGGTGATGAATTTGTTGCCACTCTCCTTCCTGCCCCTGTCAAAAGAACAAAACCTCACAATTACCTCAGGTTAGGGAACTTTCTGTACTTTCCTCAGTTTGTTTTTTTTTAAGGACTCCCATTGAAAATCCTGACCCAATATTATTTGTTGATGGATCATACTTCAAAACTTGAAACTGGAGATTATTAAGCAGGATATGCTATTACTAATTAAAGCTTGTCTGTAAAATATAGCCCTCTACCTTAGATAAAATCAGCCCGCAGGGAAGAACTATTGCACTTAGTAGGGTTTGTTGACTGGAAAAAAGACCTCAGAGTAAATATATATATGGTATGGTTAAAAAAAAAAAAAAATATATATATATATATATATATATATGGCTTTGGGATGCTTTGGAAACAAAAGGTTTCCCAAGTTCTGCTAGAACCTCCACAAAAAAATAGACAAGACGTTTAAGATACTTTCAGATGTACTCCTACTTCATAAGGAAGTAGCTATTATAGAGATTAAGGCTCATGAAAATAATATGGAAGCTAAAAGAGATATTCCAGCAGATTATTTTGCCAGACTAGCAGCCTTAACCAAGATTTCAATCTAAGATTTTAAAGAATAAATCCCTGAAGTAATTCAAGGACTGCTATAAAATATTAATATTTAGTCCCTAATTTTGAAAAGAACAATGGGAAAAAATATGGTTCTAGCTTCCCTTAATCTCTGGTGTTCTTGATGACACTGAGACAGTGAATAGCATGTCCTGTTCAACAGTCATAAGCTCTGAACCATAGTCTCTGATAAGACAATAGACAGTGGAGAAACTGGCCAAAACCAACTAGAACTCAGATGGCCATGAAAAACAACCTAAGGTTACCCTTACAGCACGTTATACCCTACTTATAATGTATTAGCATACTAAAAGAAACTTCCACCAGAACCATGACAGTTTATAAATGCCATGGTGACTCTCAGAAGTTACCCTTATGGTTTAGAAAGGGGAGGAACCCTCAGTTCCATAAACTCCCCACCCACCCGTTTCTCAGAAATCTTGTGAATAATCCTCCCTCTGTTTAACATAAAATTAAGTAGAAGGTGTAAAATAAAGAGCCCAGAAACTCACAAGATGCTGCACTCTCTTGCTCTGAAAGGTAGCTACAGCCCTATCTATGGGGAAGCCTCCCTTTTTTTCTTTTCTTACTTTAATAAACTTCCTTTTCCTTTACTTGGTGGGCTCGCTCTTGACTTCTTTCTTGTGTGAAGCCAAGAACCCACCTGGCTTTCAACCAGACCCCAGTTTTGGGGTCCACCTTCCTGTATCAGCACCAGATGACTTGAAATGGATACTAGTTAAATTTCTCCATAAAATGATTCATCATGATACAGGTAACCTGGTAACCTGGTTACTATCTTAAATCAACATGGCTGTGAAAACTTTAAAAATGACAGCTGAAGTCATTTTTGAGTTATGTGTCATTTGTCGATAACCTGGCTCTGAAAAGGCTGTAAAGATGGGATATGATCGGGAACCGAAGCTTCATGGGCCTTTTGAATACCTTCCAGTGGATTTTATACAGCTTCCACGTTCCATGGGATTTGAATATGTTTTAGTTATCAAATGTTTATTTTTAGGTTGGGTTGAAACACCTTGCTAAAAATAGTCTTTTTTTTTTTCAAATAATTCAAAATTGTTTTTATGAACTTCCAAGTTGAGATAATGATTTATTGCCATATGATAGTAGGATTCTTACAAAAAGAGGCTCAAGTCTCATAGTAGCAGGGTCTCAATCCTGGAGTCCATGGACCCAAGGATAGGTTATAGTGGTTATTAACCCCTAGAACTACACACAAAAATGGGTGTTTTGTGATTATTTACATTTTGGTTTGGTAAAATTCTCAAAGTAGCTTATGGCTACCCACAATATCAAAAATCATTTTACCAATATGTTATGACCCCATCACATGAAGAACAAAAATTCAGCATGTGAAAAGCTATAGCATTTACTTTGCTAAAAAGCTATTTGATTTTGTGTTTCCAACCTTGAAAATATAAAGCTTATATCAAATGTCCAAGGTACACACTTTACAAGAAATATAAGATCATTACCCAGAAACCATATTGCCCTTACCACATACATTCTTCTGGAAAGATAGAAAAAAAATCAACGGCATCCTTGAAACAAAATTAACAAACGTTCAGAAACACTTGCGCTTCCTTGGTCAAAGGTACTCCCACCAGCCGTTATGGCAGTATGGTTCATTCTCTTAGGGACACATTATTTATTCCCCTATGAACTGGTAACTGGAAGGTCTATGAATTTCAGGATTTTGCCTATGATACTATACTCTGCCCTATTGCACACAGACATGGCAAAATATTGCAAGAGACTCACAAAATCCACCCAGTCCTACTACCAAGAGGTTAAGGTCACATTCTTAAAACATCTTCTTAAACAGCCTCTTTAGGATATTCAACCATGAGAGTTCACCTGTTGGAAGATATATCAGAGAAAAACTACTCTTGACTCCAATTACAAGGGATCTTCTCAGATACTGTTAACAAACACAGAAGTAAAACTCACTGAAGTAAATCCACAATTAAAGAAGCAAGCCAGAATCAATAAAATTAGGAGACTATTCTAATAGGGGACCTCAAAATGATGATTCTCAGAGATTCTCTAGAAGCAGCTGATCTTCAGAGTAGACAGCTGACTCATGACCTTCAGAGCAAACCAATGACCTCAGATAATAGACACGTTCTGTCCAAGATGTTGGATCAATATCCCTATCTAATTCCTATTTTGATTTTCATCTACTTAATTACAATCAGTCTTCTCATTTTCTATAGATTCCTGGTTCTTGTCCACCCATAATGGTCCTTTTTCTTTTTTATTTTATTCTTAGTAAAATTGTTAGATCAGAGTATAATCATGTTCTAACACTAATTCATATTATTCCAAATAGTAGCCCTGGAGCTTACTGATTGCTGGGTATGCTATCCCTCACCAGGCCACCATGATAAAAAAAAAACAACAAAAAAAAAACCTTTGGAAAATTCCAAGCTCATCGAATGAGACCACAAGGAATAACAGCCAATGGTATTTCCACTTACACCTACATGGACAAATGGTCTTAAATAAATCAGACTGTGACTTTGCTAGTGTCTCTCTCTCACAGAAAAGGAACCAATTATTACAATCTATTAATTAAACTCTAGGTAATTACAAATTTGAATTCAAGAACCTTTCTGATGGATGATGAGTCAATTACTTGCCACCTGGAAGAGAATAATAGAAATTCCAGTGTGTAACCCAGCCAATGAAAGGCCTTGATTCCAACCTCATGTCATGAACAACTCCTTTTTTCCTGGATCCCCATGTATTCCTACCAGACAGCACTTCCTTTGCAGCCAGATGGCTAATCCTGCTTGCCTCATGCACACATTTCATGCACTTTAAGAACAGTAATACAAATCTTATCTATACACAGACACCCTAAATCTAGAGATCATCAAGCCTGGAAATTTCAACTCAGATGTGAGCTGCAAAATGAGGCTACCCTTGATTATTCAAGCACTCTACTTGGAGGAGTTACTGATTTGTTGTTTACCCAAATAAT